GGCCAGCTGTTGGCCCTTTGGGTTCCGTTGCCCTATTCCGAATTTCCCTACTTTCAGCTCACCGTTCTCTCTTGTGCCTAGTTTTGCATTGAAGTCTCCCATTAACATCGTATAGTGGGTTTTGGAGGAATGCATGGCTCTAGAGATATCCTCATACATTTCCTCCACCTCCTCATCGGAGTGTGCCGAGGTTGGTGCGTAAACCTGTATGACGTTCAGCGAATACTGTTTGGTGATGGGATTGTAATAAACTAATTTGTTTAATTCCGCGTAAAGAAAGAAAATGATGTGCCCAGTTTTAAGGGGACCTCCCACCCTTCCTCAATGGCGCGCACTATACCCGTCGCCGTTAATCCCAGCACTACCACTCCCAGCACCAGCACACTAGGCACGACACACCACTCTCGAAAATACGACACGTGTTTCGCCTCTACAGGAGGCATGCTCAGGTGAAGTAGACTCTGCGGAGGCTGGACGCTAAGCCAGACGCCAAGCTTGGATTAACGCGACGGGTATAGTGCGCGCGATTGAGGGAAGGTGGGAGGTCCCCTTAAAACTTGGCAGGACACATCATTTTCTTTCTTTACGCGGAATTAAGCAAATTAGTTTATAACAACCCCATTATAATGGATTCCCCATATAATGGTAACGCCTGATTCTATCAATTAACTGTTTGGTGATTCTGCGTATAAGGTACGCAACACTCGTCGACACACTCTCAATCTTTACAACGTTGTTAACAAGAGACTTGTGGACGATAAATCTGACACCTCCTTGGGACAGATGTTCGCCCTCCCGGTGATAGAACAAGTTGCCGGATTCGAGGATTACCGTGTCGTCCCCCTCTCTTCGGACCTCGGATAATCCTATAATTCTCTTCTTCCAGCTCCAGGATCTTCCCGTCAGTCCTCAGGGTGCGTGCGTTATAAGTTGCCAGGTCGAGTCGTCGTAGATGGCAATCGAACCTCCACCGGAGATTCTTAGCACCCATGGCCCCGCCGTTACCATGGTCGTCACCGTAGCCAGAAATAGCGGAGCTGCCGGGGACTGGGGGTCGTCTTTTCGTAACTTTTTGCATTGGGGGGTATATTGCCATACTTGCCACGCTTGGCGAGCAGGTTGGCAACCGCAGTTTTTTTATTGGGATATTGCTGTTATCAGGAAGATGCTGCTGCCCATCTCCCGCCTGTTTCCCACTGTCGCCTTTTACGACACCCACGGGAAGATATACGGTAGTGAGTATTCTTACCCGACACTATACGGCGAATCATTACTTAAACAAAATGTAAATGCGTGTACAAAGAATTTTACACATCATAAAATATCACCAAAATATTTTTTTAAATATTTTAAAACTACTGATATCAAAAAAGACTGCAGATCTGTGGGGGATTTCCGTTAAAGTTATTGATTATTATAGATATAATCGCGCCTCAACTAGCTATTATATTTAATACTAGTATCGAATATGGTATGCTTCCTGATTTAATGAAGCATAGTAAAGTAATACCTTTATTTAAATCTGGTAGTATATTAGACTCCGCCAATTTTAGACAATTTATGTAGTGCGAACACTTTTTCTTTTTCACGATTTTTGAAAAAATTATTCTTGATAAGATGTTAATTTTTTTTAATATAAATAATTGACTTCATAAAAATCAATTCGGTCTCACAAGGGGTCGCTCGACAACTGATGCTAGTGTTGAGCTAATTAAATATATTTTCAATGCATGCGAGAATTCACAGGATGCTTTGGGTATGTTTTGTGACCTATCCAAAGCCTTTGATTGTGTTCAATATGAAACATTAATCAAGAAACTACAACACTACGGTGTAAGTAGTAATGCTCTTAAATTAATTGTTTCATATTTAAGTAACAGAACGCAAAAAGTTGTCATTAATAGTATGAGTTCTTCCGGGTCGATAGTACAAATGGGCGTGCCTCAAGGCTCAATTCTCAGCCCCTTTCTGTTTCTTATATATATTAATGACTTACCTTACATAGTAGGGGATAAACATAATATAGTATTATTTGCTGATGACACTTCATTAATTTTCAAATTAAAACGACAATTATTAAAATATGACGAAGTAAATAATGCTATATCTAAATAAGTAAATTGGTTTAATATTAATAACTTGCATTTAAATGGCTCTAAAACGAAATGTATGAAATTCATGACTCCTAATGTCAAACAATTAAATACTAATGTAATTTTAAATGGGGAGGAACTGAGTCTTGTCGATACCACCATTTTTCTTGGTATAACACTAGAGGGGAAGCTTCAATGGAGCCCCCATATATCAAAATTAGCAAGCAGACTGCAGCATAATATGTTTTAAAAAACATTAGAAATCTTACCAGTGTGGAAACAGCTAGATTAGTTTACTTTAGCTATTTCCATAGCATAATGTATGGTATTTTGCTATGGGGACACACGACTGATATTGAAATTATACTCGTATTTGTTTTACAGAAGAACATTATAAAAGCAATCTATGATTTAAAACCTAAAGAGTCGCCCCGACAAAAATTTAAGGAAATTAATTTGCTAACTTTGGCCTCTCAATACATTTATGAAAATGTAATGTACGTACATAAAAATAAAGGTAGTTATACAAAAATAAATGATATTCATTCTGTAAATACTAGGAACAGACACAAGTACCAGTTACTCGACTCCACCGAGTTAGTAATACATTCCTGAGGCGACGTATACGCTTTTACAACAAAATCCCTGAAAATATACAAAATTTGACCTGCTCAATTTTCAAAAACTTTATTAAACAAAGTTTGTGTAAAAAGGGTTATTATAATATTAAGGAATTTATGGATGACAATAAGCCCTGGGAATGAGGTGATCGCTACCAAGCTATTCCTAATTTGTTTTATGTGGTTAATTGTGTAACATACATGATTGTTCTTATTTAAAAAAAGTCCCGCTAGGTTCCTTGCCGGTTCTTCCCAGGACAGAAGTTTTTTTTCGAACCAGTGGTAATTAAACAAAACGTGACGTTCTATAAGTATTATTTATAATCTATATTGAAATAAAAAAGTTTCTGTTTCTGCTACCATCTAACGAGGTTCCGCCATACTCCCGTAACAAGGACGAGGCTGCAAATCGGAAACCTTTTTTCCTCATAGGCTATCGATCCTACGGGGTACGGCTGACCCATTGCACCTTCTTCACTGATCCGTTGGACGTTATCAGTAACTTTGGTTATGCTGCGGACATATCTTTGTAGCAGATCTTTTGAAAGCAACTCCAACTCAATAGCCCTCTCCATAGCTAACATAGCAACTGAAATAATTTTATCATGCGGCCATAATTAAGGAACCACGTCTCGATTCCATAGCAAATGAATGCTGGCAAATGACTAGCTAAGTTCGATTCGTTACCACTTGTTCAAAGTTTCACTTGTCTAGTAGAATAATCTAAGTAAGTATTAGCAAGGAACATACTACTCTCTGACGAGAGAATTAATTTTATACGTGGTAAAATAGAAGTTTAATACTGCTGTGTTTCCTATGGTAAGTGAAGAGAACCGGAGAGCCTTTTTACTGGAGACGAGACATTCCATCTTAGGCCTCAGAGGTGACAACGCATTTTGATTCTTAATTGGGGAGAAATGTAGGTGTCTAGGACTACAGCATCCACTTATCAGGTGGACTGTGTGCTTGTTTATCAAATATATAAAAAAAGTAGAATCTGTTAAACTGTGAGTGTAGTTTCCCAACAACCACCGTGTTTGGACTTACTGGAATCGGACTATTTGTCCGAGTAGGTAAGTCTGAGTTTGTTTCGAAATTAGGCCGGTTGTTAGGCCGTTGTGCTGTTGCCCACGCATTGTGATGCTTCTGAATGCTATCATATTTTATATACTCTTTTTCGTCTCCATAAGCTCAAAAAAATCTATTGCTGGACATGCGCTCTTCTGTTGTTGAAGGTATTTATCATAATCGATTCGTTTGGCTTTGACCTTTGAAGCTGCGCTCTGTCACTCAACCGGTATTTGGCAGCTATATTATACAGTATAGAATAGTTACAACCTATATACGTTCTTTTACGGGGCATATACCTTTTCTCATTTCCGAGAGGTGAGCCGTGGTAGCTCAGGGGCCAAGCGCTCGCTGTGAATTTCGCTGTAAATATTTTACATTGAGTTTTATATGATCTATACATTTTATATTGTATTATTTTTTGATAATAATGGGAGGTGTATATATCTTTTCTCCAAAAGCTAAACGGTCTCCTAATAAACGAACGATGTTCTAATGATCAACGAATAGTGGTAGACATATCTATTGCATCTATCATTTATTCGTTTCGTGGATATCGTAAGAGGGCACTATGATGACGTATAGAAAGCTCTCATGGCCTTCGATAAATGACGATACACCATCTCGTTTATAAAAGTTATAAAATAACCAAACTAGAGACGGCATACACAATAATGCCTTCTCGTTCTGAAGATTTATGACTGTGATTATGGGATATACCAGAAAGATCTTATGTGTATATAAAGATATTGTATAGGCCAGTTAGGGTGTTAGGTACCACACAATGACATCGATAGATGGTGGAATAGATTAGTCGACGTCGATCGAGTTGCTTATATTCGCTAGCTGCTGCTATTGTTCGTGGTTCAATCATCGAATGGCGTCGATTGACAAAATACGGTCATAGTTGACTATACCGACATACTGGCATTAAAATTAGGTCAACGCTTCACCACAGACATATCAAAGTTCTAAGGTTTTATAAATTTTGTAGGATAAGTCAAATTATTTCGTCGAATTTTGCGGAAATCCTAATGTAACGGAAAAATAAATACATTGGTATTTACCGGTATTTATTTTCGGCAGTTCATTAAAACAATTTGACGTAATATTTGTTCCCAGAGTTGACCTTACCGGAGGCGATAACGCAAAACGTAATTGACACTTCGCAAGCGCGAGCCACTAGCAAACGTAAATAAACTGGACTTTCCATTTTATAATTTATTCAGATTAGACATATATACAAATATAGGCAGTGTCTGGGTAGCCTGAACTTTATAGGATTAGTTTAGATAATTTAAAAGATTTGATTTTCATATTTCGTAGTATAATGTCGTTAGTGATTAAACCGGTTATGATGGAACCTTGCTATATTCAAGAACATTAAATATAATATCATCAGTACTGTTTTGCTTTTCGTCCGGCTCACACGTTTTTGTCACAAAATAATGTGTTTGGAATAAAAAGTGTAATTTTTTTTAAAAATCTAAATCAGTGATTGAAATAATTAATAATTCCAATGTCAACGTGATATAAATCGAATAAAACAATTCACCGGGCCGCGGTACCTTGAAAGTGGGTTTTTTTCAATCATAGGTTTTTCCTCGTTTTACAAGTGTTTGCAAGATGAGTTTGAAGTTGTCTTTCATCCTTTTTTTAGGTGAGTTGTAATCAAGTATATAAATTTAGCCGTGCTATAAATGAACGTGAAAAGGATTCATCAGCAGACCAAAGAACATGACTACAAATGTAAACAAGCCTTAGATTAAAAATCTTAAATACCCTAAAAACTACTACAGTTACTAATTCAGTTTTCTAAGATAATATCTTAAAAAGTTAAATGTTTTCGTAAATTTTTAATGTCCAAACGAAGTCATCAAGCACAGCTGGTTTTAATGGTAATAACCAGTGAGTCACAGTAAGGGCGTGGACCTTTCAAGGAAACAGGATTAATCAAGGCTTCATTTTTTAATTATTGCAACATGGACATATGCCGGAAAGTATGTAGCAGAGCCATTGCATTTATCAATTCTCTGCATGTCACATCAGGTCGTCACTCTATCTAGTCGGTGGTCGCGCTTTATTCTTATTGTTGCTACGAGATTAACTCATAAAGTCGTTTCTTCTGAAAGAAAGGTGCTCGAAGGGCTGAGTTTTTTGAGCTATATGGGCGACCCATTTACACTTCAGGTTAATGATTTACTGGTCATTGAAATTTACTCTGATGCTACTGCAATTATCCTCTTTACGGTTTCTATCACGCACTGAAACTCCGAACTCTTCTCCACAGCTCGCTGAGCGACTATGAGTTTTATAATAAGTAATATATCGTTAACGATAGGATATATAGTACCTATATTTTTCTACAGTGTAAATATAAAATATATTAACAACTCGACGACGGCGCTACTTACTGTTTCCAGATTTTATGATTTTCATTTTTGGCACATAGGCAGAGTTAGTGGAATAAAATGTTACATGAAGTAAATGTGTAAGTTAAGACAGACATACACTTACTTCATATTAGACGCTTTGGCGTAAATAAGCTTATGAGTTCGCGTTCGAGCAGCAAGCACTTATAAAGAACTTGGTGGCGTTCATTTAACGTAAGAAAGTTTTAAGTGCGACATTACACTATGTACGTAGCACCAACGTTTATTTTTCTACGTTTGAAACTAAGATGATGAACAATTTTCTTTTGTATTCTTTCAATGAGATATAAGTAATTTTTTAATGATAAGGTGCTCCGAACATTAGCGTAATATATAATTTTGACTGATAGCTCATGAAAATGGACGAAACTTGCTTAAGACATAGTTAAAATTACGGTAAGCCCTGCTTAAATCGACTCATTTAAGTAGGGGTCTATTTCAATTCTCACACGCACTTACCTTCATCGATTCGATGCCATTAAAATTATAGTGAAAAGTCATAGGATGCTTCCTGTTTTTAGTTTCGTAAATGTAAAGATTGTTTTAATTGCACTCACACATATTCCTTTTTATCATCGTCATATAATATGTACTTAACGTTTTTGAAAACTCGTTTTGTATCAAATATGTAAACGTTGTAAAAGAGAGAAGGCCATGATGCGATGTCTGATTAGTAACATAATCAGATCTAAAACCGCCAAAAACAACAAGTGGCGACCCATTAGTTAGGGAAGAACAAACACATCACAGAAGATCACCAATCAAGAATGTCACGGTCCACATGGTCGAAAGTTTTTTGAAAATCCGTATGGTCACAGCTACCTGACTCGATTTTCCTTTACATTAAGGATACAATTTGAAAATAACGCTCACGCTTTAAAGTAGTTTAGAAAACCGTGACGAGTTTTGGATAAACCTTGCGCAATATAGGGATAAATGTGATCATAAATCAACCATTTAAATAATTTTTTAGATATATAGAGAAGCAAGGGGGCTAATTATTAATCATAGGGCGATAATTATTAATCATAGGTCTAGATCTCTTACGACCTGGAACAACCTGAGCCTGTTACCAGTTAGTGGGAAAAACACACTCTTTAAGACACCAGTGACACGGAACACAGGTAGGAAAGTTTATGAGAGTTAAGTGACGGTACGAGCATATGGCTCACCTGATTATGAGTCTTTAGTTAGCTATACTTTGCCTATAATAACAACAATACGACTTAACTTTTACCCTGCTTAAGTAAGGGTAGAGCCAAATCGCAACGCATTGCACCCGTCATAATGAGACGAGAAAGTGGAACGCCTCACGTGGCAATTTCACTGGCAAATAATAAAAATGAAATCAAAATTACAAAAGGGTCAATTACAATTACGAGGACGTCACGTTTCGTACTCATATTGTACAGGTGTGTAAAAAGGCCTTTAAAAACCTGGGCTTCATAATGCGTGAAACGCATGACTTCCTCAACACTGCCGCCGTGAAGTCATTATATAATGCTTTAGTAAGAAGCAATCTAGAAACCAGTGCTATCATCTGGAGTCCTTATGAAACCAAGTATAACCTCATACTGGAGAAAATACAGAATAAGTTTACGCGGTACCTCTATTTAAAGCAATACGGGGTGTACCCTTTTTATCCTCTTATGTATCCAACCCTTTTCGTAATAGGAATGGTTGGATATTATAAGTTGGAGGTTAGACGGAACTTTGCGTTACTTAAGTACATATACTTGATATTACGTGGTAGATTAAACAATCCTGAAATTCTGGAATCACTGCGGTTCCTCATGCCTAATTCTAGGCTGCGACGGGGGCTGAGGGGAGGGTTGCTGGACGTACCAGTTGCTCGTACAAATATCTTAAAGTACGCACCGGTTGTTCGTGCAGCTAGAATGCTTAACATCGTAGCACAACGATTAGACATATTTAATTGTACATTGGCGGAATTCGAGAGGGTGACATTAAACTATTTGTCTTTTTTACATTAGTGGCCACATTGTTGCATTAGGCTCCACTCCTGTAATAACAATTGTGAGTTAGTAAATAATTAAATAAATTGTGAGAAGTCTTGTAGATAATAATGTACTTTGTTTATCTACGTTCACTTCGGAGGAATTAAAACAATTTTAAGTTCTTGTATTTGGCCCATGCACCTTACCATGCAGACGTTACACAACCTCTTTTACGGGTCTCTGCGCCCCCACTTTGAAAGTCTCCTGTTGAGCATCAGTATACTCGTAAGAATACATCTTTTAAGAGTAAATGTTTTTAAGTAGAAGGGAAATATTTAGGAAAGCGGTCTCCTAAATATTTATGGAAATACATAAAAAAAGTATTTTTGAGGTACTGTGTGAAATGTAGTGATTGTAATATTATAACTCTTTTGTACTCAATAGGTTATAATAATTATTTTGTTTTTATTTTGGGTTTTTCGTTATTTATTTTGTCATTATATTTTATATTTAGTTTTTTATAGAATAAGGGTGACAAGCGAGCACACAGTCCACCTTATGATAAGTGGTTGCTGAGGCCCATAGACATCTACATCTATCCTCGTTAGCGAATCAAAATGCAGATGCGTTGTCAGCCGTGAGGACTAAGATGGAATGCCTTTTTTCCCTAAAAAGGGTCTAGTGGTTAGTAGTAAAGGTGGGTTAGTTGTCCGATTTCGTAGTAAGGATGTGTCGGCGCTGTCGTCGCGCCACAAGCGAAATTACATCGAAGCCTAAATTGCGCAGAACACCTTGACCGGCGGGATGATTTGCAGTGTCGAAGTGAGGGTAACCTTGTTATCCTTACTTATGTTTTACTGTACTACACATAATGCTGTCTTCCCCTAAGAAGGGAAAATTCATAAAAGTCCCTCAAATTATGCGATTTTTCTAATTTTTATAAATATGATTTTTTCACGAACAATCTTTGTCATAGCACGATAAACTAGATAGTATAAGGTATTTCCAGAACTATAATTTGTTAATGTAAATGTACTATAGGGACGATAAAAATTATCTTTATAAAAATAAACAAAATTGAAGTGTCTGTCAATAATATCGAAATAAATGCATTTTAATGAGTTACCGTTAATTTTTTTGAATGCATGCAATTAGAAATATATGGTCTTCGATGATTACCATAAAGCTGATTAAAATAATGATAGATCGTATCTTGACAAATCCGGGACGGGTCGCTGACATATCGATGTAAATCTGTTGTGTTACAAAAAATGTGTTTACCTTGTCATATTATGTTCAGAGTTCGCTTCAGTCAATATCTTTTAAATATTTGTGTAATTTAACACAATCAAACTTGTAAAAGAAATATGTAATCGAATAAAGATACCTAATGACTTTAATGACGGGTGTGGTGTATTCAGGCTGTGGACAGAAATATAGGTAGATATTTTACATGGAATATTGCTTAAAGCAAAGAAAGAAAGTTACCATTTGTCGTAAAATAAATCATACTGTTGTAGTTGCTTCCCTACATTTTCTCCACCGTAAATATTGTATAGTGGTATTAACAGGGATCGAACTCTGCTCGTTTATTATAAAATTAAAGGTATAAAATTAAAGGCCAGTGCTTGAGACATGAATTAAACAATTAAACAGTACTTCCAGACCGAATAGCAATAATTTGTGGAGGTGCAAATATCTTTTTAACAGTGGTAGAGCCACGCGGCAGCTTTTGCTGTCGCACGGATGGGTCGGCTCGAACCGGGGTGGTACCACGACCTCACAGAATTCCAGCGTGAAGTAGAGGTTTACCTCTGCGTTTCGCTTGGTGAGTGCAGGTGGCCGAAGGCCCTTTTTACTGGGCATGAGGCATTCCATCTTAGTCCTCACGGGTGACAACGCATCTGAATTTTGATTCGCAAACGAGGATAGATGTAGATGTCTATGTGCCGCAGCAACCAATTACCATGAGGTGGACTGTGTGCTCGTTTTTCACCCTTATCCTATATAAAAAAATCTTTGCGGTTTGTACGAAGCGAAGGTCGAGTAACACAAATATAAACCGATCAAGATCGAGACTTGAGGCAATCGTAATTTAAAATGAATTGCGATTGCCTCAAGTCCACCATCTGGATGATTGGCGGTCCACCACTGTGCTATTTAGAAGATATTTTCTTCCGCGCACGACTTCCTTGTGGAATCGATTACCATCAGCGATTTTTCCGGACCGATACGACTTAGGGACCTTCAAGAAAAGAGCGTACTCCTTT